AGTCACAGATTTAGCAGGTGAGTGTGTATCACATTACAATGTCATAATGACAGGGTGCTGAGGCACAAGCACTGGTGTGGAAACACTACTTTAAATGCAAGCTTCTCACGGAATGGGCAGCCAGCATTAAATGTGAAAATTCTATGAGCTACAGCATACTACACTGTAGAGAACTAGAGACAATCTCAGTGTCTGGCACCCATCTCTGGCACAGAATTCTCCACATGAGAACGTTTCCCTTCTAAATAAACTGTGCAGTGTGTTATTAATGGCATTATACTGCTACCCCTGTGTACACTGTGGGCATATCCACTATCACCCACCGCAGGCTTTCTTTTTAACTGCTGCCACTGATCAATACATCAGCATACTTCATCAGTTAGTACTTCTTAGCTTAAGGAGACCAATAAAATAAAATAAAAACCCACTTCTCTTGCCCACCAACCCTCTTTTGCTACTGCCATATTTTTCTCCTTTCTCTAGGAAAACTATAATGTCCTTATTGCTGTTCTTTTGTTCTACAATTTAGTTTTCCGCAGGTAAGAGCACGTATGACGTTTATAGTCAACAGTTCTAGGAAACTTACTATAAAATCAGAACCCCTGTACCCTGACCCCATTACCCATTCGCTGAGTAATAAACTCTGCTACTCTGAACATCTTTTGCTAGTTTTGATTCTTTTGTTTTTTGAGACAGTGCCTAGATAGTCATAACTTACTAGGATTGTCTTAATGTATTTAAATTAGCCTTTTTGGATCTCAAAAGTGTCTAGAGTTTTAGGCATCTTTTACTTAATTCTACTAAAAGGATTTAATTGTTTTTAGGGAGCAAGGGGACTTTCAGAACTTCAATGCATTTATTTTTACATGTATGGGTCTTCTGCCTATGCACCGCATGAGCCAAGTGCTCTCAGAGGCCAAAGACAGCATAAAACCCCTTGGGACTGCAGTTACAGGTAACTGTACGCCATCAGTCGATGCTGGCAACTGAAGCTGGGTTCTCTGGAACCGAAGTCAGTGATTTGACTTGCTTTCCTGGGTGGTTTTTGTTTTTTGGTCAATTAGACAGGAGCTACGGTTATCTAAGAAGATAACTGAGAAAATGCCACCATTAGAGTAGCCTGTATGTAAGCTCTTAGGCATATTTCTGAACTAGTTATTTATGTAGATGGCCGAGCCAGTGCCACCCTTGGATAGGTGGTCCTGGCATGTATAATAAAGCAGTCTGAGCAAGCCATGAGGAGCAAACCAGGAAGCAGTACTCCTCTATGGTCTGCTTCAGTTCCTGCCATCAGGTTCCTGCTTTCATTTCCCTCAGTCATGAGTGTGACTTAAAGAGTTCTACCCTAAAATGAATTCTTTCCTCTCCATGTTGCTTTTGTCATGTTTTTAATCACAGCAATAGATACCAACTAAGAAAACTACTGAGCAATCTTTCCAAATCCAAGGATTTGTGTTTTTTTTTTCTTTCTTTCTTACATTATAAACATATACCCCCAATTTTCCAAAATCATAATTCTTGTGTTTTTGGTTGTAAGCTTAGCCTTTAATGGCTGAGCCATTTCTCCAGCCCCAATATCACAATTCTAAGTTGCAAAAATACAAGGAGGTGAAATGTTAGAGAAGTCAAGCAATCAATACCCTAGTATCCTTCCTTTCTTTCTGTTTCCTGGCGACCACAAGTGAGTAGCTTTTCTGTCATAATGTTCAGGCTTACCACAAGCAATGACGCCAAGTGGCTGGCGATGAAAACCTCTGAAACTACAAGCCAAATAAACCTTTCCTCCTTTTAAAAAGTTGCTTATCTCAGGTATTTTTGTCAGGGTGACTGAAAGCTGACCAACACATCATGACTTTATCATTTTTTATTTACTCAATTCTTGCTTACCAAAGAGAAATTACCAAAATTTCAACACCACTTATTATTACACCTTTTATTGTGACTGACTTCTTTCACCCTGGAAGTCACCTCTCTGTTTGTATCCTATTTTCCATTTATTTTTCTAGCTGTTATCAGTCATTCTGTAGGCTATAATTTATACCCTCTCATTCAAGCAAAGTTTCTTAAATCATTCACTATTTACTGTTTTCCTTTGTTTCCTTGACTTTTCTGAAAATTTTACTATCTGAATATGGAGGATACAACACAGTTAAATCATTTTTATCTAACTTTTACTTTTCTCTCTATTTTTAACACATTGCTTTTATTTTTCAAAACTTCCATTCAGCTCAGACTCCCCCTCACACCTCTGCCTGCCCCCACCCCATTTCACCTGCTAACACTAGAGAGGAAAGAAACAAGAAACAAGCGGGGAGAGGAAAATTAGGATAATCCTGCAACCAATCTCCCGAAACAACCAACAGTCACCTACCTCTCCTAGCATTTACAGATCCTCTGAAAAGTTCCCAGAATTCCAAACATCATACAATCACAGATACTATATACAGCTAGAGCACTAGGCAAATCATAGTCAGCTGCTACAGAGAGTCCGAAGCAGCTCTCTATCCCCACACCTGGGACTAAAATGAAAATGTATTCTTAAAATATTTCTGTGTTTTCTAAAGAAATAAAAATTCCAAAATTGCCACTACAGTTTCAGAGTCAAAAAAAAAAAGAAAGAAATTTCTTAAATATATTTGCAACAAATTACTCTGTTTTAGTACCACTATCACTTTAATTTCCAGAAATAAAAAAGTGCTCTCAAATTCATGGCAATTTCAGAGGCTCTCTGGAGACAGAAGTTTCTCAGACCTCCCACTGCTAGTTTAAGAAATGCACTACACTTTCTTTTGCTTTCCAAGGCGCAAAATTTTGTTGCTATTAATTTCTCACATTCTCGATGTCCTTGTGAAGTTGTATTACTTGCAAAACTTACTTTTCTTTCTTTAGCTGTGACTGGTTAATCTTGGTCGACATTACTAGATTAAGAAACGTCTACGACAGCGGCTCTCAGCCTTCCTAATGCTACAACCCCTTAACACAGTTCCTCACATGTGGTCACCCCATATTAGGTTTTTGTTTTGTTGTTATATCCTAACTGTAGTTTTGCTTCTGCTGTGAATCATAGTGTAAATATCTGACATGGAGAATGGTCTCAGGCGACCCTGTGACAGGCTGAGAGGATCTGATCTAAGGGATTAACGGTGTAGCCTCTGGGATTACTGACAGGGTAGTGCCAGGGTCACATATATACTAAGGGGTCTGACTTAAACAGATTAGTCCTTTGACAGACCCATATCTGAAGTTATTATTGGGAGGTGTTAAAAGTTAGGAGGTAAGGCCTAGTGACAGAAGTAGGTCAATGGTGGCCAGAAGTAGGCTCTATCTTGTTCTGCCTCTTCCGGTATCCTGCTCCCTCCTCTGTTTCATGTTCCTGCTAATGTTCAACCTCCCACGAGTCCAGAAACCCAAAAGCAAATAACCACAGTCTACTGAAACCAGAATCCAATATAACCACCATGAAGTCTGTCTTTAAACAGCTTATATCAGGAACTACACCAGTGACGAGGGAGCTAATACACTGGCTTTAAGGAGATTTCCAGACACAAAATTAAGCTACAGTGTTTGCCATCCCAGTCTAGATGTCCTCATTCTCTCTCACCACTTTTAAGGTTGCATTCATAACCTTCACTGAGACTGCTCACTGTAGTCACAAATACTGCATTGCTATATGCAAGGGCTGGTTCCCTGATTCTCTAGATGATCCCTTGGTGGATGTGATGTAGATGATCACTTTTGTACTGAATTCATGATCTCTTCTCTTGGCTTCTATGACAGACCATTTCCCAGCTTTTCTGTTCACTTCAGTGACCACTGCTTCTCCTATAATAAATATTGGTCTGTACTAGGGTTGAATACACATCCTAGGTAACTGAACACAAACTTTTAAGCACTTCTTATGCCAACAACTCCTAAACCTATTATCTTAGTTCTGATTTCCAGCTTTAGAACCTTAAATACAGACTACTTTCTTTTATTCTTTTTTTTAGTGGCAGGTTACCACATGGCCCAGAGTGACCTCAAATTTTGGATCCTCTATCTCTGCCTCCCAAAAAGGCATGTGCCACCATATCTACATAGCTACAGTTTGTATAGGTGTGTAATGTATGTTATGTATATGCACATGTACGTGCAGGTGCGTGCATGTATATAAAGCAGAGACTGACACGTATGTCTTCTTCTATTGTTCTCTAGCTAACTTTTTGAAACAGAGAATCTGACTGAATGTGAAGCACACCAATTTTGCTAATCTGGATAGGGAATAGTGGGGATCCACCTGTCTCCACCCCTTCGTGCTGGGATTACAGTTACACATGCTACAACAGCTTTTTTGTTGTTGTTGTTGTTGTTTAATGTGGGAGTTAGGGATCTGAACTCAGACTAGGCCTCATGCTTGCATTGCAAGCACTTTGCCCAGGAAGCCATCTCTCCAGCCACTGTATTCTACAGGTTTTCAAGGTGTCCAAAATATAACGCAATTTAATCAGAGGACCTGACTTCCTTCCCGCATGAGTTTTACTCCATCTTCTTGTGCAAGCTGATCATCTGGCAAGGACACACTCCAGCCACATTTATATTCTGTTCAAGCATCCCAGTCATTTCTGTTCCCACTGACAATGCAGCTTCTTTAATCTTTCAGAGCTACAGAAGGCTTAGCACCTGCCATTTCACTCACAACTAAAATGACGTTTTCAACACAGCCATCACCGAGCTCTAGTATCTGTTTTTAATTCTCTTGGCAGCACTAATGCTGGTTTACTACTTGTCTTCTTTGAAAATGCAATCTTCCTGAGACAGGAATCATCATGTAATCATTACAGTAATACATAAACAGTGACCACTGAATGGCAAATGTTTTGAGTTGGACTTAACATAAAGAAAAATTTTAGATAATCCTCTCCTTAAGTAAGTATACCAAGTAATTTCTAAGTTCTTTTACATATTTTTTTCTGGAAAAAAAAAAAAAAACAATTCAATGGAGCATTATAGGATGCCTTTACCTTTTTCACTTTTTAGATCTGTAGAATGGAATCTCCAAAACCCACGGGCCTTCCTCCGTAGAACTGACCATGAGAACTCTGTTTAAACGAAACAGAAATGCTAAATGTATCCAATTTATATACAATTATCACAAAAAACATTTTAACTAATTCATAAACATAGCAAAAATTAGAATTTTATTATAAAAACGTACAATAAGATTTAAATTCTATAAACTGATTCCATAAAAAAAATAGTTTTAAAACTACAAACAAGGCCAGAGACCTAGGAGAAAACCAAATAGTACTGTTCTGCCAAAGGGATGTAGCTATAAAATGGTCACTAGTAACACTCGGCTACCCTCCTCGGTCAGTTTTTCTCAGCCATCGTCACAGAAGCTTCATTCTGCAGTAGATGAGAACAAATACAGACAGCCACGGGTGGACAATGTAAAGAAATGGAGACCTTGGGACACTCAGTCCTAAATGGAATGTCTCCATCAAATCCCTCCCCTCAGGATTTAGGAAACCCAGAGAAGAGGAGGCACAAAGGATGTTAAGAAGCAGAGGGAATGGAGAACACTAAGGAAACAAAGCCTTCTAAACACAGCAGGCCTGATGGACACATGACCTCACAGAGACTGTGGCAGCATGCACAGGGCCTGCACAAGTCTGTACCAGATGGGGTCCCAAATGAGAGGAAAAGTGAACTCAGCCCCACCATAACCCAGAAGCTATGTCCACTTGATAACACTCACAAGTGACAACCAGTCCTCTCCGATGGAGTCTGGGGGTCGACACGGCTCTCTAAGGGTAGGTCTCATGCCTACAGGAGATGGGCAACATATAATGAACTCAATGGCGTTTCGTTTCTGAAGGTCTCTGTCTCCTAAGCTTTGACAAGGCTTTAAAACAAACAAAAAATCTTGACAAGTCTTTTGAAGAGATATTATGGCTTCTAGTTTGGTGCTTTCAGGGAATTCATGTGTATGAATCTGTGTGTCTCTACATCTTCACATATATCTTGTGCTTTTTCTTTGGCTAATTTTTTTTTTGTTTTGTGGCTAATTTTTTTGTTTGTTTTGTCTTATTCTGTTTGTTTTTATCTTATTTTATTATTATTCTTTAGATGCCTGTTTGCAAAAAGGGTGTGCATTCTGATAAGAAGGAAGGTGGGGACATCTTAGAGGAGCTGAGGAACAGGAAATCAGAATCAGGATATATTATGAAAAAAAAATTTATTTTTAATAAAATGAAAAAAGAACACAGAAAAATTATAAGCAAGATAAATCACTTTTAATTCTCTACAGAAATTGAACCACAAGTTCTTTTAAAAACTACACAGAATCCTAATGAACATACAATATAAATAAATGTAAGGGGTGACATCAATAACAAAGGAGATTTCTGCATGCAATTCAAATTTTTAGTTTACAGAGACTTGCATTTTATAATACTCATGGCAGTAACAAGTATTTCTATAAATACACAGAAAAAGTGAAAACAGTGAAAGCAAAATAATATAAAAAGAAAGTAACAAATGCAGAGGAACCCAGCAAGGAAAGAGGAAGATGAGAACTAGAGAGCTGGAAAACAAGAAATTATACTAACATAAAGGATTATGTCCTCAAGTGCAATGCGTAAGATCCAACCACAGAGTACCAATAAGACTCACTTTAGATTTAAAAGTACATAGGCTAGAAGTAAAAAGACGGAGAGAGACCTTCCAGATAGGTCAGGTGGCAAACAGAAACAGGACATATGTGACCATACTTACACCACACCAAAGAGAGCTTAAGTAAAAAACTGTCACAAGATAAGGACACACACATACACACACACACACACACACACACACACACACACACACACACACGTTATATCACTCAAAAGTGCAGCAACTATAAATGTATATTCCCATCAACAAAGCATGCAAATCTAAGAAGCAGAGTAAATGGAAATAAAACAAGGGACAGATCATTCTGCTAAAGATGAAAGCAGAATTACAGACCAAACATACAAAAAGAATATTTCATGGAACAGAATGTACACTCTTCTCAAATGCACTGAGAAAATCTGTAGAACAGGTCACATTTTATAAAACAAGTTTTAACAAATTTAAGTCTAAAGTACACTTTCTAACCACAACAGAATAAAAACAGAAATTTACAAACATGCAAATTTAACAGCACACTATTACAAAAGCAGAGGGCTAAAGACCAAATCAACAGCGCAATTATCTACTATTCTTCGACAAACAGAAACCATCACAATGCATGGTCTTAGAGCAGCATTTAAGTACCCATGGTAAGAACTACCACATCTGGAGTGCAGCTCTGTCATGAGCACATGCCTTGATGTACCCATAGCCTTGGGACCAACATGCAGCTCTGAAAAAGGAAAATGAAGAAACCTCGAAACCAGAGACAAAAACAGTCAAGTCCATAGTCTGCACAAGGAAGGAAATAAAGGTCAATCAGAATAAGGCCCACCCCCCAAATCAAGCCAAGTCTTTTTTAAAAAAAATCATTTATGCTGATATGCTTTCGAGTCTATTACGTAGATTCAGATAAATCAAATGAGAAATAGAAAATTCAACTAAATCACAGAAACAGGACTGTAAGACATTATAACAACAAATGAGACAAACAAAAACTGGATAATCTCCTACAAATACACAACCTGTCAAGACTTAAAAATGAAAAGAATCGGAATAGATAAATATATTCACCCAATAATCAAAAACTACTCACAAAAGAAAAAACAAAAAACAAAAAAACCAAACTGGTTTCATTGATTCTATCAAACCCTGAAGAGTTAACATCTTTTCTCCTCGAACTCTTCCAAAGAACTTAAATGAATATTACAAAGTGAGTCTATTACAAAGCCAGAATGATCTTAACCAAAATCCAAAAGAAAAAAGTAAGAAAAAGAATGGAAAGTTCAATATGGCCGTGCCATGATGACTAACACTATCAACCTCACAGGACGTAGCCTCATCTAGGAGGTAATTCTGGATATCCCTGTGAGAGATCTTGAGATTTAGTTGACTGAGGTGCCAAGACCCATGTATGTGTGTGTGTGTATATTTATGTATGTGTGTACATATATATCCTCCTTAACCTACCTTCAAAGTGCTCAAATAAAAACATACAAGGGTAGATTTAGTCCCTCACATGAGTATTTAGTTCAGTCAGTTGACTGATTACATTGTCTTGTGGCAAGTCAAGTCTACCTCTGAATCTGTAGTATGACAAGGCAGATGAGGTTCAAATTGCACACAGAGTTTGCACCCGCTAAGAAACAATTATGTGAGGTCAATGCAGATGTGCAGACAGTGCACTACTCCACTAGCATAAAGCCGTGATGGACTTCAGATCTCAACATGAACCTAAGTTATAAGGCAGACCTTGATGTAGACAAGATAGCCTGGAGACGTCCACTGACTTATCTTCAAGTTCTCTTACTCCTTCCTGTCATCTCCATTGTGCTGAACCCATACGGTAAATTTATACTTCACATATTACATTCTTCAATTCTGAAATTCTATTTGATTCATATTCTAATTTTCATGGGATTTTGAAATATTAGATGCAAACCCTTAAACCCTATTTTCCACTCATACAACTGCTTAGCTTTAACTCAAGTCTTGTTTAAGGTCTTTCTTATAATTCTACCTCTTCTCATGGTTTCCTTGAGAAGAGGCACAATTTCCTTTTGCTTTGTATGTCATGAAAATGTACACTGTACTCCAGACACTCCAAACATTGCCGCAGGACAACTGCAAGACCCCTCCTGGAGAATATGACTTTAAGTCTGGACCACAGGTTTTAAGTAGCCTTCTGTGGGTGGTGGTCCCCAGGCAAGCTCCATTTTCAAAGCGCTTGCCTTACTATTTGGAGTCACCATCTCCATGCATAACCCAAGCATGGTTCATTTTGTAGGTCACTTCTCTGGGCTTTGCTTTTGGGGATCTGTTCTGAACTCAAGTAGCTTGAATGTGGTTGGCCCTTGTGGGTTTAGACACACAAACAGCTGCCTTCTCTTACGATTTCCAAATCCAGAAAGCTTTTCCACTTCTTTAAGCCAAAGACACTTTTCCTTCAGCATTTTGAACGTTTATGGCACCATGGAAATAAAACTGTAACTTTACGTGTTTGAGGGTGAGCAGGGAATAAAAAGAGGAAAGCTCCCTTTCCCACATCCATGCTATCTGTCCTACTAGTCTGTAGTGTTTTCCTCCATGCACCGCTGAAGGGGCTGTTCAGCTTTGACTTCCGCCCCTGCCTGATGCCTATGATTTACTTCTCATCTTGGGCTTTTGCCATCTAACCAGAGTTCTTACTCTGCTTCTGCCATTGTACTTTACATATTTCACAACTAATTTTTACAAAGCACCTTCAGAGTCACTGATCACTAAATTCACTAGACCTATCATTTTCTAGTATTTCTTAAGAGCTGCAATTCCCCTAAAAATAAAATTTCCCTCTTAATTATATGATTATATATATATATATATATGCCTAGGAGTGGTATAACTGGATATGATTATATCCCTTTTAATAATGGAATATAATCTATACAGAGGATAAATAAAAAATAATATTCAAAAAGAGATAAATAGATGTTGCTTTTATTTTACTTTCACTTACCAATATTTTCAGAATCTATAAAAATTTTCCTTCACTAAAAATCCTGTACACTATCTTTAAATTCTGTAAAATAAGATTTTATAAATTGAACTGTTGAGGAAACTGTGTAGACAAGTTCAATTATAAATTAAGGTTTGGTGGAGAGTTAGGCAAACTTCAGCAAACTTACATGAATATATACAAATTTTCCTATCAATAAGTAGCTTTGTCTTCTGTAAAGCAAAAGACACTGTCGTCAGAACAAAATGGTAGCCTACAGACTAGGAAAGGATCTTCACCAACCCTACATCTGACAGAGGGCTAATATCCAGTATATATAAAGAACTCAAGAAGTTAAAATGCAACAAATCAAGTAATCCAATTAAAAAATGGAGCACGGAGTTAAACAGAGAACTCTCTGTGGAGGATTGTAGAATGGCAGAGAAACACTTAAAAGAAATGTTCAACATCCTTAGCCATCAGGGAGATGAAAATCAAAACGACCCTGAGATTTCACCTTATACCCATCAGCATGGCTATGATCAAAAACACAAGTGACAATACATGTTGGAGAGGATGTGGAGAAAGGGGAACCCTCCTCCATTGCTGGTGGGAATGCAAACTTGTACAACCACTTTGGAAATCAATCTGGTGCTTTCTCAGACAAACAGGAATAGTGATTCCTCAAGATCCAGCTATACCACTCCTAGGCATATATCCAAATGATGTTCAAGTACACAACAAGGACATTTGCTCAACCATGTTTATAGCAGCTTTATTCATATTAGCCTGGAAACAACCCAGATGTCCCTCAGTTGAGGAATGGATACAGAAATTGTGGTACTTTTACACAATGGAATACTACTGAGCAATTAAAAATGAAGAAATCATGAAATTTGCAGGGTAAATGGTGGGACCTAGAATCGATCATCCTGAGTGAGGTATCCCAAAAACAGAAAGACACATGCCGTATATACTCACTTACATAGACCTATAAGACAGGATAAATATACTGAAATCTATACATCTAAAGAAGATAAACAAGAAAGAAGACTCGGGGTAAGATGACCAATCCTCACTTAGAAAGACAAATGGGATGGACATTGGATATAGGAGAAAACAAGTAACAGGACAGGAGCCTATAGCACAGGGCCTCAGAAAGACTCTACCTAGCAGTGTATCAAAGCAGATATTA